ACAGCCACTCATATCTAAGTTCTCTGAAACCTTTCCTTTGTTGCAAGAGACAGAAAATTTATGTGTCTCGTATGTATTTATTGAGAAAGACAATGTTGTATCTATTGTTATAGATTAGTGAGGATGACCGATGTTTAACAGATACATTCCAGACACGACAACCATGTGCTGTTTACATCATTTATTTACTGTACACTTCCGGTACATAGAACTAATAATAGAACCATGATAGGACATTATAATTCCGGATACTACATTCCTCCCCTCTTTAGATAGTTGGTACAAAATTAAAATTCCAAAACATCCAAAATTATGATCAGTTATAAACAGTTCATATTTCATGTGTCACTAATCAAGATTAAGCAGTTTATACTTAAACATTGAACTTATGATAGACAAATGTCTTTTGCAATCATTACATGCATAGGAATATAGAAATAAAACAATAAGGACTTCTTAGTCCAGTGACCTGCTGGGGATTATTGTGCCCCTTTTCACAGCATGGCCACAACTTAACATAATGTCAGTTTAACACAAAATCTTTAAGATTTACAGGAAGCTGTTTCGATCTTTGGCTTCGCCTCAAGGGTTGCACAACAGGTTTCTGAGATGTGTTCTTCACGGATGAACTTGTCTTGCACTGTTTCATAACACTATCTTCTAAATCCGCTTTAGAACTGTGCATCGCTAACTCGATTTCCTCATGATTATTCTCCTGCATCCTTGCTCTGTTCTCCAACTCTTCATTCACTGCTGAATTGATTTTCTTGAACTGTGACATGTTGCGTGTTACTTCCCTGTCCACGGTGATCATGGATCCTTTCTTATCCGTAACGATTTTTGGCTCATATGAAAAGTATGGCTGCATCTTACCACGTTTTTCATTTTTCATCACGACGGAATCTCCTACACTAATGTCTCTTTCCTTTGCTTGATTTCGCTTGTCTGCATAACTTCTCATGTCGAATTTCTTCTTGCTATCTTTCTCTCTAACTTGTAAGTCGTTCGGAGTCGAATCTCTGTGAGTGGTTACTGGTAACCTTGTCTTCGGATCCCGATTGAACAGTAACATGAAAGGTGTACGTCCTGTAGATGAGTGTGGCGTGGCACGATATTGTCTGAGAAAGCGATACAACTCTTGCCACCAGTTAAGTCCCTCAATATGAGCGGAACGCACAGCTTTCATCAACGGCTTATTAAAACTTTCGGCTTGAGCATTGGCTCTGGGCCATCGTGGTGTTATCCTCCGATGGATAAACCCCATATGTTCTGCATATCTTTTGAATTCATATGATTGGAATGGGCTTCCATTGTCACTCTTTATTATCTTGGGTATCCCATATGCACTGATAACTTTGTCCAATACAGGTATGACGGACTTAGCAGAGACGGATTTTACAATCTCGACAACTGGGTAACGTGAATACTCGTCAATTATCACAAATAAATAGTCTACACTGGGTAATGGTCCGCAGAAGTCGATACTCAAATTCTCCCAAGGTCCACCCGGTAGTTCCGACATTTTCAACGGCTCCATGGTATGATGTTCAGGAGTAAGGAGTTGACAGGCTGAGCAGTTTGTGACTCGATTTTCAACTCTCCCATCCATGCCAGGAAACCATGCATTTGACCTAAGAAAATCTTTTGTTCTTGCCATCCCCTGATGACCCTCATGTGCAATGTCTATAGCCCTGTCACGAAGGGCTTTTGGTAAGATAATGCGTGTGTCACGTAGCAGAATGTTATCACTGTGAACAGTAAGTTCGTCTCGCACTGAGCTGATTGCTGTCAGTTCCTCGAAATCTGCTTCGTCCTGTTTCAGAGTCTTCATCTTGTACCAGTCACCATTTCTAGTAAACTCAATAGCCTTCTGTAAGGTAATGTCATTTAGTGTGGCTTGTTTCACATCATCTAATTCTATTGCCCGTGGCAAAGACTCCAGGGCGATGAAGTTCACATACTCTTCTGACAAATCTCTCGCATCTGTTGCTGGCTGAACAGGGTGTCTTGAAACGTAGTCTGCCATATTATCCTTTCCAGGTGAATATTTTATTGTAAACTTGTACGGTTGTAAGCGTAGTCCCCACCTTTCGATGCGGAGTGGTGGTCGCGGCTTTTTCCAAATGGTCTCTAGAGGCTTGTGGTCAGTGATTATGGTAAAGTTATGCAAGCCTCTCAGGTAAAGGTCAAAGTGTTCACATGCCCAAGTAACTGCTAGGGCTTCCCTCTCGGTTTGGCTGTATCTTGACTCAACAGGGGTTAAAGCTCTGCTTGCGTAGCAGACAACTTTATTGTCCTCTTGTAAAAGGATGGCACCTAACCCCACTGGGCTAGCATCAACTCTCACTGTAACTGCTTTTGAAGGGTCATAATACGATATGACGGTGTCTCCACACAGACTGTCCTTCAGCTTACAAAAAGATTCCTCACATTTTGGACTCCAGTGCCACTGAACGTTATTATGGGTAAGTTCTCTTAAGGGTTGACATATATCGGCATAGTCTTTGATAAAGCGTGAGCTGTAGTTTGTCATTCCCAGGAAACTCCTTAGTTCCTTGACATTTTCAGGTCGACCGAACTCCTTCACAGCCTTTACTTTCTCTGGATCTGGGAATATGCCTTTATCCGAGAATACAACACCAAAGAAGGAAATCCGTTTCGTTCGGAACTCACACTTCTTCTGGTTAAGGGTAAGTCCACTATCGGAGAGTCGCTGTAAGACTTTCTGAAGAGCTCTGTCATGCTGCTGGAGATCTGTGCCGAATATTACTATGTCATCAGAAATGTTTCTCGCACCCGGGATGTCCTGAATAACTTGTCGGATTGTCTCATGAAATATTTCTGATGCTGAAGATATCCCGAAATTTAAACGCTTATATCGGTAAATGCCAAGGTGTGTACTGAAGGTAGTAATGAATCGTGAATCAGGGTGTAGCTCTAATTGATGATATCCGCTGCGGAGATCAAGTTTGCTGAAAACTTTTGCTCCATTCAGATCCAAAATTAGTTCTTCAATTGTGGGCATAGTATGTCTCTCTCTGCGTACAGCTTTGTTTGGCTCTCTCATGTCAATGCAGAGGCGTATATCTTCACCATTCTTTTTGGGCGGAGTAACTATGGGGGAGATCCATGGGGTTGGTTCGCCTTCAACCTTTTCGATAATGTCTGTGTCTAGTAGATGTTGAATCTCTTTTTCAACTTTACTGCGTAGGTGAAATGGAGTCCTCCGGGGTTTCTGTGCTACGGGAGGTACTGATTCATCAATATGAATCTTCACTTGCTGTCCTCGGAATTTACCTATTCCTCTGAACAGATGAGGAAAGTCATTCTCAACATTACTTCCAAGTGTTTCGACTTTGTTGATCACTTTAATAATGTTCAGTTCACTCGCAGTAGGGTATCCTAGTAGGGATCCTCCTCTCCCCTTCACTACATAGAATGTACACACAGTAAACTTCTGTGGAGTTTCAATCTTAACATCACATGTGCCGAGCACTTTAATTGTGTCCTTTACACCATATGGAACTAATTTTCCATGGGTTTTTCCTTTGTGTAAGGCTGGTTCCCCGATCTTCTCATAATCTGTCTCATCTAGAATGTTCACAGAGGATCCACTGTCAGCTAACAGTTTAAGTTTCTTGTTGTTCAAGTTCACTGTAACATAAGGACCTCGCACCGTGTTGATACTCTCTGTGCGTCCAATGAGTTTAACTCCATAACAATAACCATCGGAATCACTGTCACTATAGTCTTGGTTATTGTCCTCTTTGTTGACTAATCTCACTTTCTGAGGTTTCTTATTGCGACACATTTTTCTGTAATGTCCTACTTTATGACAGTCGTGACACTTTTGTCCTTTTGCTGGACATGGATGGTCCGAGTGTGGAAAAGGTCCACCACAATTCCAACACTGTCCTTTGTGTTTTGGTTTCGAGACATGGTTTCGTTGCTTTACTGGTTTTGAGTGATGTCGGTTTGGTCGTTTGTTAAACACTTTGTTTACACTCGCTGTGTCTAGCCTCTCCATTGCTGTAGCTTGCGAGTCCGAGATTTCCATTGCACGACCAAGCTGAATAATTTCATCAAGAGTCTTGTCAGCTTCTCTCAGTGCCCTACGTCTTAACTGATTAGATCTACAGTTCTGAATAATTTGTGACAAAATTTCACTGTCTGTGTCAGCAAATTCACAGTTTTTCGACAGTTTTCGAAGTTCTGTCAGGAATTCATCAAGGGACTGGCCTTCTTTTTGTTTGTAGCAACGGAAGTTATATATCTCCATTTGCGTGTTCTTTCTAGGGCGAAAATAATCAGTAAGTACCTTTTTTGTACCGCTGTAATCTGGAGTTGTTGTCCCCTTCTGCGCCTCGTATATATCGTACGTTCTCTCGCCGACATAGTGTAACAGTAAGGCTCTTTTTCTATCGTCTATACTCTTGATTACGTTTTGATCAGGTTCCTCACCGTCGGGCACTACTGGATTCACTAATTTCAGAGCAATAAACAAATTTTCCAGGCGTCCTATCCACCTGTCCCATCGGGGCCCTGCGTTGATTTTGTCTGTTTCCGGGTCAAACTGCGGAAATAATGGCAACGTAATGTCCATCCTCGTCGCCAGTTGTTGTATCTATTGTTATAGATTAGTGAGGATGACCGATGTTTAACAGATACATTCCAGACACGACAACCATGTGCTGTTTACATCATTTATTTACTGTACACTTCCGGTACATAGAACTAATAATAGAACCATGATAGGACATTATAATTCCGGATACTACAGACAATATTCATATAGGTTAAAGGTTCCCTATAGTTAGAAATTGAAATTTATGAATAGGTATGTTTCAAATACATTGAAGAGAAGAAATATAAAAGACTGAGATTTCCTAGATTCATATTTTTCAATCAACAGATTTCAATTACATAACATTTAAAGTAAAGAGTAATTAGATAACAGTAATTACATTTGCAGTTTAATACCAAGCAATACAATCAGGATCCTTGGACTGCACGTATCTATACAATATTATTGATATCTCTTACAATGATTGTAAATAATAGCTGCTTATACAGCACTTTTCTGAAAATCCTTCAATTTGGGAACATACGTAGATAATTATAAGTCTCACTTTTGTTTTTAAACTTAAAAAATGCAATTTTTATCAATGAAAAAGGAGAAGATTAGAAACAGCGATCGATCTCACAAAATCTAAAAACAATACAAATCTTAGAAGAAAGCATAGTACACTGACCCCAGCAAATTCCAGAGATGGGATCAGGTGCCAAGGAGAAGTAAGCGTTCCCTATTGGTCGGTCGAACCCACCGTGAGAACTATATTTCGATCTGGTAGACGGAACATTCTGTCGTCAAATTGGGTATTAAAAAAACAGACACCAAGCAATAGGTTTGAAATAAATCATCCAAAATACCTGTAACATGTATTTATCTGGCAGTAGCCTGGATTAGTTTTTAAAAAGGTAGTTTTTGGAGTTTGCTCTTACAAGTACTACTTAGAGAAGGAAAATTGACGATTGAAAAGCTGAATTTAAGTCATATCGTTAAGTCATTTGTCATACACTTTTTTTATTAGTTAGTCAGTCTCTTTTATTATCAGTAAGACAGTCATTAAAAAAAAGTCGGTAAAACATCCAAATACATGTGTGAAAAAGATGTGATAGACTCTGGGATGCATTTTGTTTCAAGTTCACTGGGATATATCCAACTAACAAATGAATAGAAATAATTATAATTGTTAATTGACAGTACTTTGTCATATATATCTTGATGTCGAATTAAAGCCACATTAAGTGTTTTCTTCTCCTTTATGTAAGAGTTTGAATGAATTCTCCACAGTTTTTAATGTTTGTGTAAAAAAAATGAAAACATATCTCTTGTTATAATTGATTTTATTAAATGCTTTTACAAAATGATAAATTTTTAAATATAAAATTAAAAAGCATTTGCTAAACAAAAATTCTGATATATAACTCTATACATGCATCCTATTTTATGGATGCTTGTTTTTTGACAAGACAGGTAGAACCAAAAATACGGAAATGGATTGAATAAAATATCATTTAATCATAAAATGACGAATATAAAAGTTCTACAAATAATGAGGTCCAGAAAAGACTAGAAATCAATGACAATGTGTATCTTCAATAAGAATTATGCAATCTGACCCCAAATAAATATAACATAAAATTACGTGAGAATAGACAAAAAGGTGGGTTAATAATAAACAAGGGCCACTTTCTAACAATTCTAATGGAATATGTGTAGAAATATTTAGGAAGAGTACAGGAACGATCCAAGGATTGTTTATATTCTCTTCCTAATTAATCTGTAATTAGACCTATGTGGAATTTTAAGGAACAGCATGGTTTCGGTATATTCCAGTAACTTATTCCAGTAACTTATATGTTTTGATCATTGTGTACAAGAAATACAAAGTATAGCATACTTTTTCAATCCTCGAATACAAAAATGCAGAAATGAGGTGGTTCGTGGGAATGATATTTAAACGAGATAATAAGTATAATAAGTGATAATTAAAAAGGATTGTATTTTAATTGTCTACGTGCAGTACAGGTACACGTCAGGTGGTTACTGTATTATAACGTAAATGTAGGGATGATAGTTTTTTAATGTTACATTGGTACATTCTTACATTAATGACCTGATTGTAGTTATAGACCTTTCATCGCCCACGGGCAACAGTTTTTTTTCTTTCGTAACGCTGTAGTATCACTACGTCACATGAAGAATAATAGATTAAATTTTTCATCAGTTTCATAGGCTAATAAAGCAAAGGCTGATGAAGAGCCATATCATCATGTTGATTCCAAAATGCAGTCGTGGAGATGAATTTGTATTGATAACGACCGGTTCTAAAACAGGATTTAAAAAGTTATTAGTATTTATGATTGGATAGCAGAATGTTTACATTTCTTTACATTTAAAAAGTGTTTATGAAGTGAGATATTTAAGAAAGATAAACAATTCTTTGGTCCTACCTTTACATCGATCATCTTTCAAAAATTCTTTTATTGAAGAAAATGATGTTTTTGCTGCGCAGGCACTTTCGTATGGAGCAACGCACGCTTCTGCTGTTTTTAGGTGCCTACATGTAGATTAAAGGTTAAATGGGACTGTTTATAATATATAAATCATTTAAAACAAAAAATTAATAATTCTTAAAATAATCCTCACGTTTTCGTATTAAAGTAGCAGACAAAACAAATAAAACTCCGTCCATGAATTGGAACAAAAATTTGAAGACTCACTGACATAGAACTGTCTCATTCATCAGAGAACCGGTATCATTGAAATGTTCCATACGTTGAATACTGAATTTTAAAATACACTGTGTTGCTGTTACCATTTCACACTGCTCGCCACTTGTTCCTATCAAAAAATCATGACAATATTTAGAAGAAAAAAAAATATGATGTTAATTATTCAATTAAAACCCGTGACAATTTTCTTTAAATTATTTTATAATGTTAATTACCAAATATTTTGAGGAATGTAATATTAAATAATCGCTTTTGATAGATTTATGTAATATGTGAAAATCATACCAGAACAACCAAATTTTTCGGGTTGGAGCGAGGAAACATAAGAATTGTACAATTCTGAGTAGGAACTTGAGGAACAAACATCTCTATAGACTGTGATGCAGTCCAAGGCATTCTTTAATTTAACACTGTAAAAGTGCGGGATGGATGAATTAATGTAGAGTAACATTTAATGAGAATTAGGGCAGGTTCTTAATTGCACAAAATTTCTATGTTCTAAATATTTAATTGTTACTTACGTTTTTTACCATCATGATAAATTGAAATTTCACTTACTTGCAGAATAATGTAACATTTGAGATTATCGAAGACGTATCCAAATGTATGACACAACTTCTTATAGCTTGAAGGTCACACTGTAAGCCAACACTACCTGTAATAAAATTGCTTGATTCATTTGAACTGTTTTTACTTAATATATAAATGTTTGTGATTTGGTTTACCTTGACATTGGAACGTTGATGGTTGAAAAGCCTGGACATTGAGTCGATATAAACTGTTATTCTGACATGCTGTATCATACGGCTCTAGACATTGACTCAGTCTTCCCAGCTCGTCACTGTAACGCCAGAAAATAAACTAAATCTTATGGGATACAAACAATCTACAATTTTTAAAACCGTTTTAAAATATCATCCAGTAAAAGATTTCAATATAATATTTTGCTGATGGCAATTTTTGTTTGTTAATTGTATTGAAAGTTAAATAAAAATGTATTATCTGTGTAGTTATTTTGGATAGCATAAAATCGAATAATACATACTTGCAGAAAGCTGTCTGATTTTGAGAAAGCACTGACATGTTTAAGTTGGCATAGCAGTTGTGCACTTTTGTCAAATCACATGTCTCGCCAGATTCTGAGCCTGTAAACAGAAACCAAACTCAGGTATAGGCACATTTCTTACGTCTTTTTTTCTAATTGTACACCCAAGTTAATATGACTGTGTTCAAGTCTCTTATAATCACTTCATCAAATGTTAATTAAACTGTTTTTAAAATCCAAGTTTTACTTTTAATCGCTAAAATTTACAGATTCAAGTGTTAAAGTTTGAAGAGTACAGTGTGCAAATTAAAAAAGTCAAAAGGGCAATAATAAGCTTCCGTACTAAAAATATGATTTACGAAATAATTTTGACACAGTCACTTAATTATAATGAATACTTGTATGACAAGATATATTAATGAAACACTGATGCCACTGTATGGCAGCTCAAGGCAGAGATTAAGATTGTTTTCAAATGTAGGTTAAAAGTTTTGGTAACAGTTTTAGGTAACTAAAGAAAGGTCTTAACACAAGATATACACATGTGAAACACAAAAGCTTAATTTTAATCTTTCAGAAGCAAGATTCTAGAAGTTCATAAATATGTAATAGATAAATTAATGCATACATGTAAGAGAAACAAAAAAAAAAAACAAAACAAAACAAAACAAAAAACATCATCGACCGTTCAGAAAATTTTATGCAAGGGTAAAATTTTGTAAATGTAGGTCAAATTAAAAAGTCAAAGTTAGGAGGACAAAAATAATGGTACACGTAGTAGGTCTTGCCACAAGGAAAACACAAGTATTGTTTGAAAGCCTCCTCCAAAATCAAGGTTAGAGCTTTTTAAAGTACCATATAGGTCAAACTCCGAATTGAAGGCCTGAAACACAGATGCCTCCATATGCCAACATAGCAAAGATTAAACTTTTCTTGAATGCAAATTTAATATATTTGTTCCAAAAGTAGGGTATTCTCACTGAAAATACAATTGTGAAATATGAAAGTAGGGTTAAAGTTTTTTCATAAGTACGGAAATCTCCAAGGTCAAGGTCAAAAGATCAAGATAACTGGTATCCAATGAAAGGTCTTGCCACGAAAAATACATATGTGAAGTATGAAAGCCCTAGCCCTTACCCTTAAAAAGTTATGGCCAATGTTAAAAATTTTAAAAAGTATGTCAAACTTTTCTTGCTATCAAATGTAAGGTCTTGTCACAAGGATTAAAAACCCTCTCTTCGTGGCACACTAAAGAGTTGTGATTCTAAGGTATTTTTCTGCAGTTAGAGTGATCTGCCCTCAGACCTAAATTCTAAAAAATAAAAATTTACAATATATTACTCAATTTTTAATAATTTTTTGTATTCTTAACAATTTAAAAGGCCAAGATAAATTAACTGAACGTGTTATTTACATGTATTTTCTCTATTGAAGTAATTAACAGTGATTTCTATTCATTGATACTGTGTTGTCTTTGAACATTTTTCCCGGGGGTAAATGCCAAGCACCATACAGTGAAAATTAAATAAATAAGCTCAATATTAATTCCTTTATACAATACATTTTTTTCAATGTCCAAAAAAAACATTTCACTTGTGTAGAGAGGGTCCTTTAATATATAAAGTATGAAGGAACTAGCCCTAACCCTTTAAAAGTTATGGTCATGGTTTGCTTTTTGAAATAGATCAAACTCCAAGGTCAAGATCAAAGGATCATAGGTTTTGGTATCTAATGAAGGGTCTTCTCACAAGGATTACATATGTAAAGTATGAAAGCCCTATCCCTTATCGTTCAAAAGTTATGGCCAAAGTTAAAGTTTTTTCATAAATTCGGAAATCTCTAAGGTCAGGTTCAAAAGGTCAAGGTTGTTGGTTCCAATGAAAGGTCTTCCCTCAAAAAATATATTTGTGATGTATTAATGTCCTGGTATCTACTGTTCAAAAGATATGGTCAAAGTAAAAAATTGGAATTTTTGTGTAAAAGTGGGTCAAACTCCAAAGGTCAGAAGGTCAAATTTGGTGGTACCCAAAGAAAGGTCTTGTCACTAGGAATACACATGTGAAATATGAAAGTCATAGCTCCACTAAATCAAATGTTATGGGCAAGGATAAAGTTTTTGCGGACAAACAGACAGACAGAGAGACAGATAGACAGCTAGACAGACGGACGGACGGACACGACAAAAACTATATACCCCCGAAACTTTGTTTACGGGGGCATAAAAACGTATGGAATATATAAAAACCAGATGGCCAATCGTTCAAAATAATGACCAAGGTTAAAGTTTGGTCAAACTTTGAAAAGTAGGTCACACTAAAAGGTCGAGATAAAAAAAAATATCTGTACCAAAGAAAGGTCTTGTGACAAGAAATACATCTTCGAAACATGAAAGCCCTAGATATACTAGTTTTATCGACTGTGAAACTATGTTTAGCTCATTTTTGTGAATTTGACGAGAATTGGCAATTAAAACTTATAGACAAAGTCAACATTTTTGAGGACATAGGACAGTCAGATCGACAGAGACACCAGACAGAAGCAAAGTGTAGTTTAACTTTAGAAGATATTGAGATTATGTTTGGCGTCTTTAATAATTAGTCCAAAGTATGCATGACCGTAGGAACCGCCCCCCAACATAGCTACTATACCCGTGCCCACTCAATTAAAACTCCTGATGATTTTTTTACTCAAGCCCTAGAGGGGCTTGAGTTATCTAAAACGATGCTAGGTCATCGAATTACTCAGTTTAAAATTACAAAAATATATTATTTTTGTAGATAAAAATATTTATAGAAACAAAAATGAAGCTTATCTTGAAAACGTCTGTATATTCAAAGATATTAAGTGTTAAATAGCGGATTATTTTCTATGGCGAATGAACAATGAGTGAAGCGTCGCAGCCGCAACAGTTTCTATACAGAGATTTCACGCTTTCCTTTGCGTATGAATCTCAGGTAACTTTTTACAGTCGCCGACAAAGCATCCTTGGACGAGTCCACTGCAGACTCTGAAAGGTGACGCAGGTTACCCCATCGTTAACAAATTCTACAATGCATGGCCAGAAAATGTATGGCTGTACCCCCCAACTGAAAATGCTTTTCACGGGCCTGCAAATGAAGTGTAATTTGAGAGACAGTAAAGTAAAAGCACAAAATCAATGTTAAATTCTCGTATTAAGCTTTGGTACCGGAAATTATATACTTCTTTTGGTTCGTACCGAATATGCATTGGACATGCCGCTCAGATAGATGAACCCCATCGTCTCAAGCCACGGTCCGCAGTAGGAGAGGATCGTACATTTTGTCCGTGGTTTGCAACGATGGATGAACCCGTAGTCACATGGATTTTTTGGAGCCTGGAGCCCCCCCCCCCCTTTCACTTTGAAAAACTTTTCTACAGGCTTTTAGCAAGCTATCTTAATTGATGTATGTATTGAATGAGATGTACGTCATTAGGCAAACAAAACAAAAACGTATATAGTTTGAAGTACATGTATACTAAATGTCTACATAAAAAATATTTCATTAAGAAACGGAAACGTTACTATGCTCTATAAAATATTCCTGAAAGTGTGTCACGTAAATTCATCTTAAAAAGTAATTAAGTACGATTAATAATTTTTTTTCCTAATAAAATTCAATATATGAATGTTGTTTCATGTATACAGTCATGTAGTTTATTCAACAGAGGATTGAACTCAATATATAGCCCTCATCTTAAAACCATTTTAGGATATAATGATACTTCTTAATTGACTTTCTACAGCTTGAGTATTTCTGACGTTTTGTCAGTATATACTTGTTTTCGTTTGCAAGGAATTTGTGGTAGTTGAAAGTGCCCCCAACTGAAAAATATGGCTGTGCTCCCCAAACTGAAATTGCTTCCTTCGGACCTGATATAAATATTTCCATCTCATTGATAGGAATCTTACAAAGCAAAAGAGAATTTTCCAATTTACGAGGAAGAACCAGGTTTCGCTTTTGCTATCGAAATATTCTGCACAATTTTCATTTATTTATGCACCAGTGCACACTATGAAATACACGTATTGTTTTAAGATCACAACAGCAGAGAAGTTCATTTCTATGTCTTACCTGAAATAACAAATAATACATTGAACATCATAACAAACTTCAGCGTTATTTCTATGTCACACATTGTGGACAACATAATGGACCGTACGTTTTCTTCTTCTCCAATCTAACCTTTGTCCAATTCCTGCAGTATTATATTCGATACACACATATACTATAAGTTAACACAACGCCAGCCCAGCCCAGCCACTCCGGAATAAGCAATGAACCATACACTACCCCAGTTTTATCAAAATAAAGAATCAAGTTACATCGTTTTATGGTGTTGCATTTAAACAACGCAAAAAATGTCTATAAATAGACCTGGGTTTTGTGCTTATCAGGGAAACAAAATAGAAAGCATCAGCAATGAATGTAAATGCTAATTCGTTAATCCGTCAAAGAGTATATAATTTTTTCCTTTGCATGAACACTTGATACAACATATCACTCTTCCCTCTTGAATAATACAAGATTTTTTAAGTACTTTATACGAGACACTCAGCTGTCTACAACCTTGTTACATGTAAGTAATTACTTTGCGTCTTGTTCTACATGACAAATATCTGAGTTAAAAGTGATAATACGAGATGAAGTGTAAATATGCATAATGTAATGTTAATCACGTTCAAATTAAAAATTTTCACCCTTATGAACTCGAATAAGCTCATATTTCTATAATTTATTTGACGTTAAATTTGTCTGTTATTTAAATGATGTCTGTATAAAATAAATTGGTCATTGTATAATTTTTTTGGTTGTTTGAAACACCAAGTCTACATGTATTTAGTACGGAAGCCCATTTAGGACCTATCAAATAAAACATTGAATTCGATATAACAAATTGTAGAAGTTCTTATAGCGAATATTCGTTATAATGAATTTAATTTGTTATAACAAAGTTGTTGAATTCGTTATAACAAATTCAAAACTTTATGAATAAAAATTAAACTTGTTTTAACGAATTCTAAAACTTGTTATAACGAATTGAATTAGATTAAATGAAATCTTTCATTTGTTATAACGAATTAAATTCGTTAAAACGAATTCTAAAAATTGTTATATCGATTTCATACATATTTATCTATAGACCCTGATTTCTGAATTTGATTAAACGAATTTAATTCGTTATAACAAAGATAAGAATTTGTTTAGACGAATTTAATTTGTTATAAAAAACTTTAGAGTTTGTTTAAACGAATTTAATTTGTTATAACAAATTATTGAATGTGTTTAAACGAATTCAATTCGTTATACCAAATTTTTTATTTCGTTACAACGAATTCAACAAATTTGTTATATCAGATTAAAATCACTATAACGAATAAAAAGAAATTGTTATATAACGAATTAAATTCGTTATATCCAATTCAATAAGTTTATTTGATAGGTCCTAAATGGGCTTCCTTAAGGACCATATAATAAATTTTATAAATAAAATATTTTCATTCGTTATTTTACCTCCGATACCTCTTCTAAAATTATGTGTGTAAATTTCTATATACTTACAACTAAATTTAATTTCGCCAGGTAAAAGGCGATGCATGTTAATTTTCGGGGATGCCATTGAGTCTGACGTCACTCTGCGTGGAGTATGTAAAGTATACTCAGGGTGCTAAGTGTATTTTAAAACAGTTTTTTAATGTAAATATGTGAAAATATGTATGTCCACTTCATCGAATATGCCAGGGACATTAATTTGAATCTTCGGACGTTTATGCATAACGGGCGAAGATGTTTCCAACTGTCCTTAGTGCCTTGTTATACTAAACAAAACTCTAAATGTTCATTTTTTAAAATTATTTTACCAAATGATTTTATTGAATATGAACAAAATACAACACCTAAACTTTTATTTTACATAAAATTATGTAAATAGGTCAAGAATATTCTTCAAAAATGATAATACAATGTATTGACAATTACTTTAATAATTAACAAACAAAGTACAACAAACAAATAAAAACATAAAATTCAAGAAATAATAATTCAATTTAAATAAATAAATAACCGCACTTAAAGCTGATCACGATTCGCAAAAAGAAAGAGTTATATTCTTGTCCGCCATATTTGTCCTCTGTAGATCGTCCTGCTCCAGCCCCTAAATAAGCCTTAGTTTTGTTCGCCGTTCAATGGATTGTCCTTCACGATATTTCCTTCTTTGTCAGTGTGTTCTGACAAAATGATGCCTCTTCCCCACCAAGAAAAGAATTACCGAAGATATTCGAATGCACTTGTACGTTGTTTGTAATGAAATTTTAACAAAAAGAACAATCATTATGTAAGGTTTACATGTAGAATACACGCAGCAGATATCAGAGGTAGCGAGTGCGAAGGCTTTACGTACCCTAGTGCAGAGGTAGGGAAATTTATATGGTGTGTGCTTAATTACGAAAAGTGTTCAGCTTTAAGATTCTGACAAACATATATTACAGTCAAACATAATAACATTCAAAATTTGCTACTTATCAAATTACTGTTGTAAATTTAACTCTACTCGCGATATTCAGCTATATGTAGGCCTCGTCGATGATCGACTCGATTAAAGAAACTTTTTACAGTGATGAGTCATATTAAAGTTCAATAATTATGAAATGTGGCGGATAAAAATATTTTACAGAATTATAAAAGATATCTGAAAAATACAACTTGCAAAAACCCTTTGTATTAATTCTTTCATATTTTATTTTTCAAGATTTTTTTCTGTTTAGGTGTGGCAATTATTACAATGTAGATAAACCTGCTACTGGTCTTAGTTCAATTTATGAAGCCAAATAGTAATGAAAGCGATAAAGTCATCATTATCCCATGGAAAATGGCTCTGGCTGATGCGCTGGTTTCATAATTCACCGGGTGTAAATACACAACTAATGGAGGTTTTGTGGTTACTATGGAAATACAAAATATGTTAAATTATAAATTACAGCAGATAATATGCAATAAGAAATTATTTCATGAAAACGTGTCTATGAATATCCGTATATTTAACATAAAAACTATTAGTTGTAACTTTGCTTATCGCCCTTACTCACCTACACATTGGGTGAGGTCGAGGTCAAGGTGTAAATGAGGGATTATTTTTACAAGGTGTTTCAAACGGAGCAAGGCAACTCTTGGCTGTTCTGAGGTGTCTAAAAAAACAACAACTAAACGCATTTTAATTCTATAAATGTCATGGCTTGATCCATATATCCATTCAGTTTCATACAAATACATTTAAATTTGTTGTAAAATTGGTGGTACGACTTTCTGAGACATCAGAAAAAATTGCATAGACATTTTCAATCATTTGAGCTCTAAAATTTACATTTATTTCAAGTGAAAATTAAGAAAATGAAGTTCAGAATCACGTTTTTTATTCTTAAAAAGTAAGATCGTTGATAGCATTTTATGTTGCCAATAATTAACTTTTTAGAGATTCGTATTTGAAAAAAAAAATGAAACGGAAAAATTGACAAATCTTTTCTGTTGAAGCAATTATTTAAAAAGGAAGAGAAACCGGTCACTTGAGAGAATTAGTCATGTAACCAATATTTACAACATCTAAATAAAATCCTCTTTCCATAAAACGTGGGGCGCGCTTATTTATATGCAATGTTCTGAAACTAAAGGAACCAAAGAACTATTTGAAAATTTCCTCGTGCATTTTTCAAAGGAACACAATGTCAACACCTCAAAACGAAGCAATAATGACAATTTCATAACTCACTGGCAAAGACTTTCATGGTACCTCCACGTCCCTGTAGCTTCGAGATGATACATGCGGTGAATGTTAAATCTCTGAATGCATCCCGCAACTGAAAACATTTCGCATTGTTCCCCAAAAGAACCTGTTCAGATACAAAAGACTTTTTCAGCATAATGGACTTTTAGAGCTCCGTTGCTATATATACATGTACATGTATACCCTATTAGTAAAGTTATCATGTACCCATACCGGAACATCCATACAGCTCTGGCTGCAGTGTTGATACAAAAGCATTGTATAATCTGAGGTGTGAAGAGGTGGAACACACTTCTTTGTAGGCTTCCAAGCAGGATAATGCATTCTTCAGCTTAAAACTTTAAAAGATTTTTATTGATTTTTATATGTATTTATTAAGATTTTTAGCTAATTAGAAAAAGTTAATGTTTTCAAGAACTACCATAAATGCATGGAGTGAAAAAGAATTAATAATTCCATTGTGAGATAATTGAAGTAGAAAAATGAAAATGTCCTCATACATTCTAAAAAATTAAATTCATGTCTTAAATTTATGGATTCAAGCATTCTTACCTGCAAAATGACGTTGCATTTGTAGACACCGAGGATAAATCTAATTTTTTAAGACAGTTTTGCATTGCCTGTGGATCACACTGGTGACTAGAAGTACCTAAATTACAAAAAAAAATAATTTCGTAATTTTCTTAAGTTTGTTATGTAAAGTAAAGTTGGTCGTTAGAAACCTGAAATATTTATGTTTTACATGTTCCTTGGTAATTTACCTTCGCATCCAAACACTGATGGGCTGAAGGACTGAATACTGAGTTGGTATTGTGGCTCATTAAAACATGTTGTGTTCTGTGCCTCTAAGCATTCTTGCAGATTCCTCAACTGGTGACTGTTTCAAAACGATGAATATTTATATCATATGTATAGGTGTTATACCTAAATTGAAATTGGGAAAACGGTTTTTTTTTCTTTGTTTGATTTAATTTAAGATATTCAGATTTTTAAACTTTAAAATACAAACCTGCAAAAATTAGTTTTATTTCTGGATAGCACAGACATATCAAACTCAGATGCCTTGAAGCACTTGTTAACTTCTTGAAAATCACAATTGTCTTCTGAAGCAGCTCCTAAAGTTAAGAGTATTCATTTGATTACCTTAAGTTTCCTAAGAATGAGAGAAGGATTCTTTATATACTATATCGCCGGGTATTCAAGAAAACGAATAACTTTAATTCTTAAACGTATGATAGAATAACCCTAGCGATATTTGTTTGGCTGCATTTGAGCCAAAATATGACCCAGTTCTGATCCGAATTTCTGAATTAGAACGTGGAAGAAGTTCCTTTCATAAATTAAACACTAGATGTGGGATCAATAAATTTATTTGTTTAATTTGCTGATCTGCCATGCCCTTCTCGTTGGATAAGTTTAGATATGTTATAAGATAATCCATGTCATTTTACAAATCACAAAGTGTTTTTGACATTGATTCTTATACAACTAATTTTCATAAATATTTATAATTTAGCCTAAAATACGCCAGAATTCCCAAATCTGATTGCTCGAGACCCGCAAATGTATTTTAAAAAAGAAAAAATAGAAACAAAAATTGTCCATACATGTTACCTTTCATTATGCAGTAAATGATCAAATCCAGAACAAGAAGTTTTACAAAGAACTTTATTCGGTAATAACCAATATTTGCCCCCCAAATCAAACTTTGATGGAGGTATATTTAATTAAGTTCTTAAACAGGGGAGTATATGCTGACTTCAAAGCACTGAAAATTTTCATAAGTAATGACGTCATATGTACGTAATGACGTCACAAACATGACGTAAATTTCAGTTTTTAATGAATTCTACAGAAAAATATACATATTTCGTCGATATTTTGAGTAAAAGTCACCGAGCGCATGTGTGTTCAAGATCAATATTTTGATATAATGTGTAGAATGATAATATCAATGAAATATGTAAATATTAATCCTGAACAAACATGCGCTCTATATATTTAAAAGCTGAAATTGTTGAAATTTTGTCCATTTTGTCCTCTTTCTGAAAAAAATTCTAAAATTGGACTAGTTTGTGACGTCATAAAAACAAAAAAATTGTGAAAAACTGCTTTGAACCTATAATATGTTCTGTTAATTTATATTTCTTATACAATTTATTGAATTCAGCACATTTCATGAAGTTTTCAAAATGTAACTTTTGTGGGGGCAAGTATATGCAATATACCGCATATAGTTCTTCTGTCATTTTGCAAGTATAAAGAATTGCAGAATAAATCTTGCAAGTTTGACGTACGCTACATTATTTATAATATCGATGAAAGAACGAACTGAAAGTAGCTTTTTCGTTGAAAACAAAGTGAAAGCAAGAGATTTAAAGATAGTAATTACAGACATATTGACAATAAAAAGCATTATGCTGTTCTCTTTTATTTACTGAAATGCTGCCATTGAACTTCTTTGCCTCTTTATAAATTCTTTTCAAAAGGTTCATCAAAAAAGTGTATTATGTTTTCGTTGAATGCATCTGCTTGTAATGATAGAAATACGCAACTCTCAACCGGTAAATGTTGGTGCCTCAATAAGGGACTTAAACAAACAGACATAAAAGAAACAAGAGGCCCATGGGCCACATCGCTCACCTGAGCACTGTGGCTTGGAAAAGGTAGAAAATTGGTTTATTATTGAAAAGTTTTAATCCAAAAGAAGTCCCATGACCAATCATGGCTTTACTTTTCTTGAGAAGAGGATTTTTAAAGAATTTTTCTATATATTTCTATGTAAAACTTTGGTCGGCCATTGTGGCCCCGCCCTACCCCTGGGGGTCATGATTTGAACAAATTTGAATCTACACTACCTGAGGATGCTTCCACATAAATATGACCAATCATGGCTTTGTATTTCTTGAGAAGAAGATTTTTCAAGAATTTTCCTATATATTTCTATGTAAAACTTTGGTCGGCCATTGTGGCCCTGCCCTACCCTCGGGGGTCATGATTTGAACAAACTTGAATCTACACTACCTGGGGATGCTTCCATATAAATATGATGAATTATGGCTTTTCTATTCTTGAGAAGAAGATTTTTAAAGAATTTTCCCATATATTTTTATGTAAAACTTTGGTCGGCCATTTTGGCCCCACCCTACCCCCAGGGGTCATGATTTGAACAAACTTGAATCTACACTACCTAGGGATGTTTCCATATAAATATGACCAAACATGGCTTTGTTATTCTAGAGAAGAAGATTTTTAAAGAATTTTCCTATATACTTCTATGTAAAACTTTGGTTGGCCATTGTGGCCCCGCCCTAACCCCGGGGGTCATGATTTGAACAAACTTGAATCTACACTATCTGAGGATGCTTCCATATTAATATGACCGATCATGGCTTTGTTATTATTGAGAAGAAGATTTTTCAAGAATTTTCCTATATATTTCTATGTAAAACTTTGGTCGGCCATTGTGGCCCCGCCCTACCCCCGGGGGTCAAGATTTGAACAAACTTGAATCTACACTACCTGAGGATGATTCCACATGAGTTTCATCTTTCCTGGCCCAGTGGTTCTTGAGAAGAAGATTTTTAAAGATTTTTCCTATATATTCCTATGTAAAACTTTGGTCGGCCATTGTGGCCCCACCCTACCCCCGGGGGTCATGATTTGAACAAACTTGAATCTACACTACCTGAGGATGATTCCACGTGAGTTTCATCTTTCCTGGCCCAGTGGTTCTTGAGAAAAAGATTTTTTAAAAATGCCAATAATTTTTCACTAATTCATAATTATCTCCCCTTGGAAAAGGGCGTGGCCCTTCATTTGAACAAATTTGAATCCCCTTCACCCAAGGATGCTTTCTGGCAAGTTTGGTTGAAATTGGCCCATTGGTTCTTGAGAAGAAGTCGAAAATGTGAAAAGTTTACGGACAGACAGACGGACAGACAGACAGACAGACGGACGCCGGACAAAATGTGATCAGAAAAGCTCACTTGAGCCTTCGGCTCAGGTGAGCTAAAAAACCAGCAAAATAAAAATTTACACATGTTTATTATAAACATATATTAATTCGAAAATACACGCGTTTCCAGTAAAATTATGACAGATATTTTGTTAGTTTATGTCATTTCAGGGTTTTAATTGGGAAAGATCACCTTACTGTTATATCAGTATATATATTATATACATAATCCATGTTCAGAGAACAATTAAGGTGTCAGAAGTGAAATTTCTACTACCTTTATTTTTGACGTTTTCCATACAGAACACCTGATAATGTTGTTCAGATGTTTGGTTTTATTCATTATCATTACGTAAATAAATATGAAGATAACGAAGAGTTATCATATTCAAAGTCCTCTTTACCCATTTAAATTGGGAGCAGAGAAAACACAGACCTCAAAAATATTAGAGTGGGATCAGATGACACGGAGGAGTAACTATCCCCTGTCCGCCCATTATACATTCCCTGTGCCCCTTGTCATGACCATGCAAAAACCGTTGACGATTCAGTGTGTAAATTATTGCACATGCCTTTCAATTAATATTAAAAAAAAAACGCCAGACAACATTCGACTTCAAGATGAATCGTATTTGATGACAAGAAAAAAAAACTCAAACTCAAAAGTTCATTCAAAAATACAAATCAAAAGCAGAGCAAACACATCATCTAACAAGAGGCCCAGGGGCCACAGCGCTCACCTGAGCACCTCAGGCTTGAATTTACTCCCCCCCCCCTCTCCAGGCGTTCATAATTTGAACAAACTAGAATCTACACTACCTGAGGATGATTCCATATAAATATCACTAATCATAGCTTTGAAGTACTTGTAAAGATTTTAAAAGTTTTCCCCATATATCCCTATTTAAAACTTGGGTCGGCCATTTTGGCCCCACCCTAGCCCCGGGGGTCATGATTTGAACAAACTTAAATCTGCTCTACCGGACGATGATTCCACATGAGTTTCATCTTTCCTGGCCCAGTGGTTCTAGAGAAGAAGATTTTTAAAGATTTTTCCTATATATTCCTATGTAAAACTTTGGTCGGCCATTTTGGCCCCACCCTTGCCCCGGGGGTCATGATTTGAACAAACTTGAATCCACACTACCTGAGGATGATTCCACATGAGTTTCATCTTTCCTGGCCCAGTGGTACTGGAGAAGAAGATTTTTAAAGATTTTTCCTATATATTCCTATGTAAAACTTGGGTCGGCCATTTTGGCCCCACCCTAGCCTCGGCGGTCATGATTATAACAAACTTAAATCCACACTACCTAAGGATGATTCCACATGAGTTTCATCTTTCCTGTCCTAGTGGTTCTTGAGAAGAAGATTTTTAAAGATTTTTCCTATATATTCCTATGTAAAACTTGGGTTGGCCATTTTGGCCCCACCCTTGCCCCAGGGGTCATGATTTGAACAAACTAGAATCTACACTACCTGAGGTTGCTTCCACATGAGTTTCATCTTTCCTGGCCCAGCGGTTCTGGAGAAGAAGATTTTTTAAAAATGCCATTAATTTTTAGCGAATTCATGATTATCTCCCCTTGGAAAAGGGCGTGGCCCTTCATTTGAACAAGCTTGAATCCCCTTCACCAAAGAATACTTTGTGCCAAGTTTGGTTGAAATTGGCCCAGTGGTTCTTGAAAAGAAGATGAAAATGTGAAAAGTTTACGACGACAACGACAACGCCAACAACAATAACGACAACGACAACGACGACAGACAACGGACAAATTTTGATCAGAAAAGCTCACTTGAGCCTTCGGCTCAGGTGAGCTAAAAATCAGTGGTAGAAACGGGTACTATTAAGATATGAGCATCCACTGTCAATGGTCACATTCGCCGTGTGTCCTTGTTATGATAAAAAACATGAAAAATCTAGAAAATTCAGTGAAGAGTTAAACATATGGAGATAACGAACAGTATTCAAGATCAAAAGTCCATAAAACAATACAGAATATGAGGAGAGCATACACGGACCTCTAAACTTCGGAGGTGGGATCAGGTGCCATGGACGAGTGAACATCACCTGCTGACCAGTCAAACCCGCCTTGTGCTACTTGTCAAGATCGAAAAATAACGGAAAAACCTGTCGTCAATTTAGTGTATAAGTAATGGACTAACAATTAGTATGAAAAACGCCAGTCAGTATTGACTCAATGATAAATTGTTTCCTTGTTAAATCAACTTGTTTGTCAATAATTTACCTCGTTTTAGAAATTGTTTATACGTAGAATATGCTCTTACGTATCGAATCAACTGAGATATATAAACTCCTTATGCAGGTGTTGAAGGCATATTGCTGCTTAAGTAAGTAACGAAAGAAAAAATAAAGTCATCACGTTTATCATTTAGATTGGTTGTTAAATTACCATTAACGTTTTTTTAAGTAAAACATCAAAATATGAATCAGATATAAAACTTTAATTCTTAAACGTATGATAAAATAACCCTAGCGATATTTGTATGGCTGCATTTGAGCTAAAATATGACCCAGTTCTAATGCGAATTTCTGAATCAGAACGTGGAAGAAGTTCCTTTCATAAATTAAACACTAGGTGTGGGGTCAATGAAATTATTTGTTTAATCTGCTGATCTGCCATGCCCTTCTCATTGGATTGGTTTAGGTACGTTATAAGATAATCCAAGTCATTTTACAAATCATCTACAGCGTTTTTATACATTGATTCTTATACAACTAATTTTCATTAATATTTATAATTTAGCCTAAAATACGCCAGAATTCCCAAATCTGATTGCTCGAGACCCGCAAACGTATATAAAAAGAAGAACAAATATAAACAAAAATTGTTAATAACTCTTACCTTTCATTATGCAGTAAATGATAGAATCAGAACAAGAAGTTTTACAAATTTTGTCATTTTGCAGGTATAAAGAATTACAGAACAAATCTTGCAAGTTTGACGAACGCTACGCTATTTATAAGATCGATGAAAGAACGAACTGAAAGTAGCTTTTCGTTGGAAACAAAGTGAAAGCAAGAGATTTAAAAATAGTAATTACAGACATATTGACAATAAAATGCATTACACTGTTCTCTCTTATTTACTGAAATGCTGCCATGCACGGCATTTTCCTTGTAAACAGAGCGCAGCTTTTATTGAACTTATTCGCCTCTTTACAAATTCTTTTAAAAAGGTTCATCAAAGAATTGTTTAATGTTTTCGTTGAATGCATCTCTCAACCGGTAAGTGTCATCACGTTTATCATATAGCTTGGTTGTTAAATTGCCATTAACGTTTTTTTTTAAATAAAATATCAAAATATGAAACAAATGTGTCAGAGTCTGTGGTATATTTTATCTCAAGCTCACCAGGATATTTGTATCTACTTAAGAATGGAAATTGCCATTTTTAATTGACAATACGTCGTCGATATATCTAAATGTCGAATTGAAAGCCAGAGCAAGTGTTTTCTTCTTTTCACGCGTACGATTTTGCGCAATTTCTGCTTCGAATGAATTCAAAAATAGGTCTGCTAATAACGGGGCGCAATGGTACCCATGGGTATTCCAACAGATTGCTGGAAGACCTGATCTCCAAAAACATCATAGACATTGTCAATCAGAAATCATTAGCATTTTTTATGTCAACTTCAGACTACTTGTGTGTGTACAATCAAACAGTTGTTTTAACAAAATAATATTACAAATGACCAATGACAAGGTAAGTAAATTTACGAGTTCCACTTTTATTGAATAAGCAGCTGTCGATGATATTAAAAAGCCTGAACTTTATTTTATCATGGTCAATTGCAGTGTGTAAAGTTGAAAAGTCGTAAGTTTTTAAGCTGTTGATTTTGGTAAAATCTTGTAATTTTAATTTGTTCAAAAGTTCCTTGGATGTATCCACATCTGTTTTACACTACTTCTTGAATACATTGTTGCACAGTAGTCCTGAAGTTTCTCTTTCACTACTGTTAATATCGAGCGATAATAGCGAAGAGTAAAGAAAGAGGCTTGGTTGAACATTTACTGAAACCCACTATGTTTGCAATGATTTTTATGAAGTTTAGAAATCCAGTATATATATATGGTAGTTCAAATTCATTTTGGTTCTTTAGGATATTAAAAACATTCAAAACTGACATATGATTTTGAAGAATTTCTTCCTTAGAAAGGAAACAGCGAGTTTAAGTTGGATTACCACTTGCAGAATTAAATCCAAGTTCTTCTACACCTGTAAAATATGATTTATATATAATGAGTCTTACAAACGAAGAAAAATGTTGTTACCTGCTTTATTAACATTGACCAATACCTAGTGAAGATGTAATTTATTTAATTCTTTTTTCACAAATGTTCAAGTGAGTTTGAAACTAAAGGCAAGAGAATCTGCCAATTGACTTTAGATGATTTTGTAGCTCACATCCGATTTCTGAAAACGGATAAATGAATGGTTTGCATATTGTCTTTTAAGTTTGATTACGTTTTTATTAATGACTTTTTAAGCGTTTAATTGATTCATTTGACAAAATGTACAGGTCTTCCTCTTTCATTTTATGCCAACCGTCTGGTACAATCTTCATCAAAAGTCCTAGAAATGACGCTCTTTCACAAACTGAAATATCAGGACTCCCTGTGTTTGTACATTTATATATGACCTTTTAAGATGATAATTCGACATTTTAACTACATTTACTTTTAAAAAATTAAGATATTGACTGTCAGGAGATACTGTATTTAAATGAAGGAGGAAACGAAAGAACACTTAGAGAGGTTTGTATATAGTAGAAAAGTTTGGGTGCAAAAGTAAGGAAATACAGGGTGTAGACTTTAACGTAAAGTATGATGGAATGCTTAACTGTACTTTTTATGATAAAGAATGTTTTTATGTTCAAAGCGTTTGTATCTGTCAAGCAAGTTTTGTCCTCAAACGTGATCTGTATCTTTGTACTTAAAAGAGGAAAGAAAACTCATACACTTGTTACAAATATAATGAAATATTTTTGCTATTGTAATTACATGGTGTACAATCTCGTTTCGTCACAGGAAGTGACAAGTTAATTCTTGTATACATTGTATTCTCCCTAATTCTTAATCCATTCTGTCGCCTGCATATCAGTTCTGTGGTTTGCAGAAAAGTTATTATGGGAGGTGTACTTCCACGTTCAATATTTCTAATGCACGTCCGACATAAATATAGAACAAAGAATATTTCATGACACATGCATTTTTTAAATTCAGGAGACAGTGTTATCAATATATGTCACTGCCAGTAGACTTCCTCAAAATCATGTTTGTAATGTTCAATTATTTATCGATACTTAATCTATAGGCTTTTACTGGGCTTGTTTTGTGTTTTAACCATTGTTGTGTGTTATACTTTACATTTTAGTCTTTATCTACAATATCAGTCTCAGAGGCCAGAAAACTTCGACAAACTCATTTTTGATCTCATTCTCACTTTTCCACTATTTATTCCTTTGGTAAAAGTGAGTTTGAGATCATAAGTGAGCTCAGATAAGTTCTATGGCCACAAAGCCTGCAGATCCAGTCCATCATTAATAAATGTAACTATATATGTTTGATCCTGTGTTTTGTAATTTAATAGCGGTAAGTAAATTCTCTAATTCATACGAATTGAGAATTAGCTGGTCCATACATGTATTTATAGGTCAGTAATGATAAAAAGTTTGATAAATCTTCATTCATAACAATCTCCAATGAACGATAGATTGATTGTGATTTTTTACTCAGGTAGAGATGTCAACAACTGACGGTCTTATAAAGAAGATATTCCCTTCTGATATCTTTCCCCGGGAAGAATGTCTGTACAGAGTTGAAATTCCCTTCAAAAAAGCTCTAGAGAAGGATTCACCCACCTGCAAATATGACTGTCTAAAGTAGGATTTCTACTACAGAAACCAACACCAGATTCAGTTTTCCGTGGAGAATCCTACTACTATTGATAGTAATACCGGTAAGGTCCAGACCCGGCCTAAAATGCATGCCTGTACTTGTGAATGTGGGACATGTTATTAAAGGTGTCCATTCGCAGTAACCAATTTTCACAAAATAGTTTAATTAAAAGTATTATTGTGTATTCAACATTTCCATTTAAACGTATTTAGTATGAAAAAATGAAAATTTTATCTAATTTTTCTAAGCAGCTGACAAACGAATTATTTTAAAGCATTAGTCTTATTCTTTGCATGTGGACAAACTGGTTACTACCAGAAAATTAAATATTACATAAATATATGATACAATTTATTCGGTTAAACACATTCCTTCTTGGAAACATAAAGGAGGAAATGAAGAATAATGTCTTCGGGAGGAATTACGGTATACCGGTGTGTAATTTATGCAGAGAACCTAATATATTCTTATTTCCAATATTTGTCTCAGACAGACACTTGAAACCCACAACCATTTTCATGGAAATGTTTTACGAAAGTGATGTTATCATTGAATCTCTCTGCTTTGTACTCTTCATGTTTGATTGATTAACCAACCTGCATTCTTTGACTTATTTAAGATCTCAATTCAATTTCGGAAATCGTTTTGTTTTCGTCATTTCTGAGACTTCTGCTTACCTATTATTGTACTTTAACAATCGAGAAATATGTTTTAATTTTGCAAAATACAAATACAAAACATCGAGTAATAATAGGTCACCATGCATGTTCTTTTAAATATTCCCTTCTATTTTGACTATTTGAAGGGATCTAGAAAATAAGTTATGTTATTGTTAGAGACATGAAAATTCTTGTAAAAAACAAAATATATATTTGTGCTTTAGTACAAACTAAATACCATGATAACAGGAGATCAAGTTAATAGAGCTTAAGAATAAAAAAAACTGAAAGAAACGCTGATATTTTGCATCTACACATACTATTATTACATGCTATTTCAGGATATGCCACATAGACTCACTGACTAAATTTTCTTTTCAATTTTTCAACCTTTTGGTTTTTATTGGAACCTTTTGAAGGAAAAAAGGATTCCTTTTTTTAAATTTATATACTTTTAGTTGTAGCACTTAATCCATATGTCTTTTTGTATATAGATCAGGGTGCTACATGTAAACTAAACTAGTCTTCGATGTAAGAACACATGGGACTCCCCCTTTACTCCTTTATGTCATGAAAAAGTGAACAATTCAGTCTGAACTTTCACGGCAGATGTACTGATTGATTAATAAATTTTCAAGGAAGTGATTGGCAAGGGAATATTTTTGTCATTATTTTTTTGTCAAGAAGAAATCAATCATGTGGTTAATAAGGCACGCCGGAATAGATGCTCACTTCCAGGGAGGGGTTATTTGTCTTTTTACCGAAAGCAGCACACAGTCTGACGTACGACAATACATTGCTCTGTGTACCAACACACTAATCATGAAGTGTATATGGTTTTTTATCACTTGATTTTATAAAATGCTCATGAATGGTGAAAAAGTATTCATTTTTTATTTAGCTTCATAAATACTGGTTGAAACAACAATGCAAATATTCAGACCATTTATTGCCTTCATGTGTCACTCCTAAATAGAGCTCTTTGTGTTTGCTTTAAAAATGAAATTTTTATCTCCTTTGTGAAATGTTTTCTGAAAAATTGACATTTACTTAAAATAGTTAAGATGCATAATTTATGCGAAGTCCTTGAACTTTTGATTTATAACATCTGGCTATGTAAAAAACTCTCATTTCTCCCAACTTTTTCTAATAATGTAAACAGAGTCAGTTCAAACACCTACAAAGAACTAAAAATGTATTCCTTATTATTTAAATATTTCCCGTAAATTCTTTGAATTTTGTTAATTTTTCGGTTTGAATGCCAAACACCAAGAAATGATCATTCATAGATATTTTATGAAAGAAAGATTAAGCTCGAATCTCTCCGACTAGTACAATACCAAAACGATAAATAGTTTTGCATTCTATTTATTCCTGATTTTTCGGAAATCGCATCGCTGTGCTGTATTTCTCATAAAACAGTTGACCTTTAAAATTTTC